AAAGTTGTAAATTGGAATTACATTACTTTTATTATATAATAACTTTTCACATCTACTTATAAATAAGTGACAAGTTTGTCAATGAAATATATTTTTGATTATAAAAGTGATTAAATATGATTATATGAAGAAAATTTGATTATATATAAACTAAAAAATACTGAAAATTGTGGAACAAATTATGGCAACCTTTAACAAAAAGTTATTGATAAAGACAAGAAACATGAAAAAAACCTCCTTAACTGAATTCATTGGTACTGGAAAGGAGTTGTTACTCTCTGAACTTCCAACATATAGAGACACACTTCAATATGCAGTTCTATTAAGAGAACAGTGTGATAAAAACTCCAGAACTTTTTTAATAAAAGATATGGCAAAAAAGGTAGCATGTTCTGTTATTGTCCAATGGCAAAAAGCAAACGCTAATTTTAAAGCTCCTATTATTTATTCTAAAAAGAATATCGTGTACAAAATTATAAAAGCTTGGAACATTGCATTTTTAATATCTGTGAACAAAGAAAATAAAAAAATAAGAAAGAGTTTATATTAAAGCTTGATAAGTTGTTTGATATTTTAAATTGTAAGTGTCAAATTTCTTATTGTAAAGAATTTGGATGCAAAGTTGTTTGTAAACAACAAGCCCACATTACATGCAACTGCTCTAAGGAGTTTAAAATTCCTATTATAGACATTTTTTATATTAAAACTGAAAGAGATAAAGTTGGTGCTAGAGGATTGCTTCAAATATCTTCCAAAGATTTGCCTGAACACAACAAACAAGTTAAAACATTACATAATCATTCTATTAAAGAAGCTTTTAAGAGAAAAAGGGAAGAGAGCATAACAACAAATAAATTTTTAAGCAATGATTTTTCAATGACTGAAGATGAACTCTCTTACGAAGAATTCAACAAAGAACCTTGTACTTCAAGTTATTCAAAAATAAAAAAGTCTAAATATAATACTAAAAGTATTTGAAATGTCGCAATAAATAGCCTTAGGTAAAATATGTTTTGTTATTTTAAATTAAAAAGAAATTTCTCTTCATTAAAATATAACTAAAAATGTTTATATTTGCAGATACGAAGTTTCTTCTAGAGCTGCTGCAGCTTTGACGACAGCTGCCTGGATTGATGCTGGATTAATTTCTGAGAAAGATACACAGTTTATTGTCGATCATCAAAAAAGAGCTCAAGCTAAAATCATGATTGAATCAAAAAATGAAACTTTAAAATCTATAGACAATGGGAATATCAATTGTATTTTGTTTGATAGTAGAAAAGACGTTACAAAAGTAAAATTAGAAGTAGAAGGATCCAGTAACTTTTTTCCCGGATCTATTAAAGATGAACATTGCACTACATGCATGGAACCAGGTGGCAAATTTTTGTTTCATTTTAAACCAAAAAAATCAACTGAAGAAGAAAAACATGCCGAAATAGTAGCCAACCATTTAGTTGAATGGATGATTCAATATGGTGTTGACAAATCAATACAAGCATTGGGCGGTGATTCAACAAATGTGAATACTGGATGGGAAGGAGGTGTCATACAGTTTGTAGAATTAAAATTTAATAAAAGGTTGAACTGGCTAATATGCGCTCTTCATACTAATGAACTACCACTCAGACATCTAATAGTTGAATTTGACAGAAAAACACTTTCAAACAATAAATGGTCTGGTGAATTAGGAAAACTGCTGGATACGGTAACAGATCTAGATGCAAACAAAAACTTTGAAAAAATTACTTTAGGTGAACCACTTATTGTTTTGCCAGGCAAAATACTTAAGGACCTTTCGACTGATCAGGCTTACGGGTACAGAATTTTAACAGCAATAAGATCTGGAGTGTTACCAGAAAATTTAATAAACCTTGAAATAGGACCTGTTTCTCATTCCAGATGGCTCACTACAGCCAACCGTTTTTGTAGACTGTGGGTTTCAATTCATTTTGTAACAGGAAAAAACTATAGAAATCTACGTTTAATTATTGAATTTATATTTGGTGTGTATTTTCCTTGCTGGTTTCAAATAAAGGTAAAACATTCCTGGTTAGATGGACCTCGCCATATTTTATTCCAATTGAAACAACTAAGATATCAAAAAAAAAAGAGGTTATTGAAATAGTAATGAAGACTATAATGAGATCTGCATGGTTTGCATTTAGTGAATGCATTATTCAGACTCTTTTGTGTTCTAAAGATGAAGAGGAACGAAAGTTCAGAGTGCAAAAGGTGCTAGAGATTAGAGGTGTAGGAGATGATAACACCCAGTTTGGAGATAATTCAGTAAGAATTCGCAAAACCCCATGCATAAACACTGATGCTGATAATTTGACCAATCTAATTGAGTGGAAAGATTCAATATACGAACCACTACTTACCACAAGCCTCACAACCCATGAAGTCAGAAAATTTTTTCACAAGCCTATGGTTGTTCCAGAATGGCCATGCCATTCCCAATCTGTCGAACGTTGTGTTAAACAGGTTTCTATTTTATACAATTACGAGACTATAATAACTCATTTAAAATCTTTTAATAACTAAACTGTTTAAATGTTTAATATAGGTTACAGAGGCTTATGCCAAAACATATTCCGACGAGAAGCGAGAAGGATATATATGAGCACAAGAAATCAGTAGGGGTTTTATGAGCAAAAACAATGCTAAATATAACTTAGTTGGACTCACAAATTTTAAATAAAATTTATAAATTATTAATTGTTAATTATATTTAAATTTTAATAAAGCACATTTAGCATTATATAATATATATTATAAATATATTAGTATATAATATACTGTTTATTATAACAAAATTGTTTGACTTATTATTAATTTAAGAAAAGTCAGCGCACCCCCTACGGTAACATTCTCTGTCTAAAACACGAAAATATTGAAACTTTTTCTTAAAACAACCTTCATAAAAGCCCTCATTATATGTTTATTTTTTTGACTTTTTAACAAAGTATGACATTTTTATATAGTTTAACATAATTTGTATTGAGTTTATCAAATATTTAAAAAGAGTTTTTTTTTTTTTATTTATAATTTTTTTTTCATATTTTAGTCATTTTCTCGTTGAAAACTAAACGTTCCCTCCAGCAAGACATCTTTTATTTTTTTATTTTTTTTCAGATTTAGATTCCCCATAAAATTCCTCACAAAATAGAACTCCCCTTACTTTTAAAGTTTGATAAAAACAGGAAAAAAGCAATACACTTTACCATAACATTCTTTTTCTAAAATATGAAAAAAGTGCGTGATATATGTAAAAATACACTTCACAAAAACTCCTTTTCTGTGTTTGTTTTTATGACTTTTTGAACCAAATATTAAATTTTCCTAAAATTCAACATAAAAATTATTAAGTTAATCAAAAATTTTCAAAAAAATTTTTTTTTTTTAAATTATAGTTTCCCCCTGTTAATTAGTCATATTTTAGTCATTTTCCCGTTCAAAACAACGCTGACCCACCCAGCAAGACATTATTTTAAAAAATTTATAAATAATATATATATATATATATATATATATATATATATATATATATATATATATATATATATATATATATATATATATATATATATATATATATATATATATATTAGGGTGTATTGAAAAACAACTTTTTTTTGAATTTGAAATTGTAATAGAGGGGAAAAGTTGCATAATGATATAAAAAGTAATTGTGCCAAATTATTTTGTATTTTTTTTATGTCTTCAGTTTGCGCTAAGGTTTTATTTTTCGTAGCAAAATACGTTTTCTGATCCTTTTTACAAAATAAAAATAAAAAATTCTATGCATATACTAGAGTTGTAATAGAGTTTAAACATTAAACAATGACTAAGTTAGAAATGGTTACAATTTTTAAGAAAATATTTTTATGTCTTCAGTTGACGCTAGTGTGCTGAGTTTTGACGAAAAAACACTGTTTCATTAGTTTCTGAAAAACAAGCTTAGCAGTCCATAATGTACAATTAAAGTTTTAATAGAGTGAAAAATGTTTTTGAAAAATGTTTAAAGTTAAGCTGTAATAAAGTTCAACTATCTGATTCATTTGCCTATGTCTCAAACTGTCTTTTTGTGTTGAATATAGGCATTTTTTTTCATGATGCAAGTCTTGCACGAATGAAGCCGTCTCTACTAGCCAAACCACAAACTTGATCTGAAGCTTCGGTTACAAGTTTGATGCATCTCTCTACTCCTTGAGTATGGCATGGAAAATGCTGCACATCTGGAAGATTACCTTTTGTTAACATTTCAATTAGATTTTCATCTGAAATGTGAGTGGTAATTGGAGGTTCACTTAGTTCACATTTAATCCAATCAATAAGGTCTATATAGTCTGTTGCTTCAAAATTGATTTCTGGTATAGAGAACTTTCGAACTTTATTTGTTTTGATTGATCTTGCTTTCATTATTTGTTTTAATACAAATTTTCTCACATTTGGACGAGTATCCGATATCATAGCCAGAAGCATATTTTTTGGATGTGCAAAAAAAGCATTCCTTTGTATAACTGGATTGATGATACTTTTTATTTCACTACTGGCATACCTGGATAAATTGATGGTTAGCCATAAATGTCTTGCACCTTCGGTGCATGAGGGATCATATCTTATATTGAACCACATTTGGCAGTAAACTCTAATAACAAACTCAACTATTTCTCTGTGTGACGGTTCGCTACATCCAACATAATACCTCAATATTCTGTTTGCAGTGGTCACCCACCTGGCATGGTTTAGTTTTCCAGGATTTCGGTTAGCCAAAGCGTTTGGACAATAACCTGTAGATATAGCTTTGCAAATATCAAGTATTTTTGATCAGAACTAAAAGATTTTTTGTCTATTTTTGGCAATGTGACACTGACAGGAATGTAGTTGACAATTGGCAAGGTATCACACAATTTAATTTTTCTTCCGATCGGTCCAGACCTGATGTAAGTCCACCTAGGTTTTGAATTAGATGCCGTAGAGGCAGTTCATTAGCATGTATTTGACAAATAAACAGGTCTTTTGAGTTCTAATTCGAACAAAGCAATAACACCATGACAAAATCCAGTATTGACAACTGTTCCGTCACAACCCATGGCAACTAATTTGGATGTATCAATGTTGTTCTGAGTTAAAATTGTTTTTATACTTGTCTTAATGCTGTATCCATATCCTGATGCAGTCTCTATGTGCCCTAGATACTTTGACCCTGGTTCTTGTACTAAAACTACATGTTCTTCTTTAATAGTTTTTCGTATATTTTTTCCCTTGTTTGTATCAATAACAAATGTTGTATCTTTTCTTCCATCAAAATATAAACCTAACAACATTGAATATTTTCATGATCTAAATGTTGCATTTTAAGTCTGTTTTTCTTTCGTTCTCTTTGAATCTTATTTTTATCAATTACTTTAGATTGGTCTCCTTTTGAAATTATGTTTATGTCTTCCAGCACAGCACATGCTATAAATGCAGCACCTCTGCTTGAAACACCAACTCTATCGCAGGCTTGCGCTAAGGATAGTAACGGTGATCTCATTTGTTCAGTTTTATCTTTTCTGGTTCTTTTTTGTTTGTGGCCTTCAGCTGTGTCTAAATAATCAGCATCTGATTCTGAGTCAGTATTCCAAATTACAGTGTCATCAGAGTCAGAATCTTGAGATTTAGAATAGAAACTTGAATTATGAATGCGGCTTGATAATGTTGATTGAGCTTCAATACCTGTAATAGCACAAGGCTGTTTTGATGGGTTAGACGGCAAGGAGCTGATGACTCTATTTTTTCTTGCTTCTTTTCGCCGTAATCTTAAAGTAGCTTAAATATCGAGTCTTTCCATATACATAATCCTCATAAATCTCTGATCGCTAAGAAACTCGTGTTCTTTCTCTGGTACCTTCTTTGCTTTTTCACAGATGCATTTAGAAAAATCAAAGCATTTGCATGCTGCAACGTCAAACTAAGTATTTTCTGCATGCTTTTGAAATCTTATTATTTTCGACTTCAATTTGTCTGTATGTTTCGTTTTGTTAACAGACTTCATAATATTTCTATACTTTTGATTGTAATCAAGAAACATTTTTACAATGCGTTTGAGACACAGTAGGTATTGATGGTTTTCCCCACAAATTTTCTATTTTGTGCGCCAAATTTTCAGATATTTCTTTCAAAGAAGGTTGTTTTCCACCAGTTTTCACTCTCATTTTCTGCATTGACAAAAGATAACTTAGCATAACATGTTTGTATGTTTGCAAGATATTTGCTCGTAAGTCTGCTGGTGAACCAAAGATAGGACAAGTAGACTTTTTTCTTGTTGTCACTGCAGCGGAAGACATTTTTGCCGTTAAAATTTTAATTGATTTCTATTTATTTTATTAATAAACAGATGTAAATCAGAACTAATAAATTATAACCTGTGCTTTTAGCTAATTTTCTAATAATGCTGATGGTGATGGTAATAAATGACGTAATTAGTGACATTTTAAATACATACTAATGTCATTTTAAAACCACCGCTGTAACCATTGGCATTATTTGTTTTATTACATTTTAATTACTTTTGTTCCATTAACTTAACAGGACTTGCGATTTTGTGTGTAGTTAGGGCTATTTGCGTCGAGCAAAAAATTTTTTGTTTGAGTATATTTAAAGATATTTTTGAGCGGAATTTTAATGAAGTAATTTACGATTATTTTAACATTTAATAAAGTATTTTAAAAACCGCACGCAGTTGAAATAAAAGTTTGAATTAAAAAAAAATTAAATATGCTCATTATTCACAAGCAGAAAAAAATTCAGATTAAAAAAAAAGTTTAAATCTTTTAAGCTAACATTTTAATAAAATTATTCAGCAATAGCAAAGTTGTCGATAAAATTGAACAAAAATACTTTCTTTTAGTTTTAGATTTTAAACTTAAATAATTATTTTACGGGGGTTTGTTAGGTTTTAAAAAAAAAGATTTAAAAATATTTATTAACTGTTAGACGTATTTAAGAGTAATTTCGAGGAAACATTTTAAAAATTGGTGAGCGCAAATAAAAAAAAAAAAAAAAGGATTAATATTAATACAGTTATTAAAATTTTTGTAAAAAGTAACTCAAAAAAATTACTTAAATAATATTGATCGCTTTTATGTTAAAAAATAACAAAACTCAACGAAGCGTGCTCAAGAACAGCTGCTGAAAAATAAAACATCAATAGTTTTTCGAATAATTTTTAAAAATAATTTTTAAGAATAATTTTTTCGCTGAAATATTTCTTTTATACCTATAAGATTTTTATTCTAACATTTTATTTTATATTACTTGAAATAAAATTCCTTTTTAACATTAAAAATCTATTCAAAACGTTCGTTTAAGTTTTTTATTAATACGAGTGATTGTGCTTATCAACCGCTTTATGAAAATAAATAAAAATTAATAAATATTATATAAAATCGCTTATAAAAATATTAGCTATTGCACAGTTTTTAATCGTACAATATTAAAATTTCCACTTTATTACTCACTGACTTTTTAAAAAGAAAAAATAATTATTTGAAAAACTTTAAATTACATATTTAAGAAAAAAAAAATCAAATATTAGCATATTTTATAATCTTTTTTTTTCTGGACAAACGTCCAGAAAATAAACAAATGTTTTTACATTTTAAAAAACAAAACATTCCAAAACATTTTTAAATAATAACATTTCTACATAAACGATTTAAAGTAGTTTTGCGGTAATTAAGTAAATTGGTGCAGTTAATGTCGATAAATATGAAAAGCAAATAAAAAGAATTTAATGACGTCAAAAATCACGTCGTGCTTATACGTCGTGCAGTTCTTATTCATCGCAAGGCCTGATATATATATATATATATATATATATATATATATATATATATATATATATATATATATATATATATATAATATATATATATATATATATATATATATTTAAACATCTTTGTTTCCAACAAGGCTGCAAGCAACCACTATTTTTGGAAGTTACTGGAAAAGAAAAGATGAAGATTGTAGAGCAAGATAACGATTGACAGACAACTTAAAGAATTGCAAATTAAATGAATCAGGAAAACAAGATGAAGGAAGCGAATTCCAAAGAACTGATGTTCAAGGAAAAAAACTAGAGGAATAAGAGTTTTTGGAGCATCTAGGAACAGTCACAATAAAAGAATGAGACATAATTAAATGAGAAGTAACACGAGAATGAATTTTAGTAGATGGCACAAGAGACGCAAGCTCTTTAGAGCAGTGCCCATTATAGTATTTGTAGAAAAGAGAAAGAGAAGCAACATTACAACAATGTGACAAAGGTTTAAGGTTGGCTTCAAGAGCAGGTCCAACTATGTTTACAATGCATTTTTGCACCTTGTCTAAAAGAGAAAGGGCATCATTAGAAGATCCGCCCCAGATATGGCAACAATATTCCATACAAGGCCAGATTTGAAATTTATAGAGAATAGAATGCGGAGTAAGAAAGTGTTGAGCTCGATAAAGAGATGCAACCTTAGCAGATGTTAATTTTGCAATGGATTTGATATATGGTTTCCAAAGAAAGATCGGAAGAGTTAATTCTAGAAGATGAAAGGTAGATGACTCATCAAGTACATTACCGTTTATAAATATAGGAAGATCTAAATTATTGTGATAACAATTAACTGAATAAAATTGAGTTTTATCTGAATTAAAGTTCACCAGCGACTGTGAGCCCCATGCTGTAGCAAAAGTGATAACCTTTTCAAGCTTAAAATAAATGGCAGTATAATCAGCGAACAATGCCACCTTAAATGTGAGAATATCTGGAAGATGCTGTCAATCATGGACAACTTTTATACTATGATTAGAAAGAAAGGATTCAATAATCTTAAAGATGTTACCAGATACACAGTAAGAAGAAAGCTTATGGAGAAGACCAGCATGCCAAACTTTATCAAAAGCTTTAGAAATGTCAAGAGCGATTGCCTTAACCTCTCTACCTTTAACTAATGCACGATAAAACCTATTGGTTATTATTGTTAGTAAATCAGCTGTTGAACGAGAAGATCGAAGCAAAAATTGATGATCAGAAAGTAAGTTATTAGATTCAAGATGAGAGATTTGTGTTTGTTAATTAAAGATTCAAAAACCTTGCTTATTATAGGAAGAAGACCAATAGGACCATAGTTAAATGAATCAGATCGCTCCCCAAAATTTTCCAAAACAGGGATAAGAGATACCGCTTTCCAGCAGGCTGGAAAACAAGACTCTGATAAGCAATTGCTGAATAGTTTTGAAACTATAGACAAAGACTCCAGAGAACACCTCTGCAAAACTATAACAGGTATGTTGTCTGGACCACAAGCTGTGGAAGAGTCTAAGCAGGAAATCACTTTAGATCAGAAGCTTGAGTGATACAAATGTCAAGCAATGGATCAACCTGTTTGACGGCAATATATATGTATGTATATATATATATATATATATATATATATATATATATATATATATATATATATATATATACATATATATAAAGAGAGCGAACTTATTTATTACCAAAATGAAATTTAGCTTATGTTACATTTTTTGAGGAATTGCTCACATACATATATAACAACTAAAAATGACAATACCTATGTAATCTAAAAATTCTTCTTCTGTTAAGGGGGGTTTCAAGGAAGTTTTACGATGAGCATTCACTCTATGTAAATCTGAGAAATAGTGTTGCCTCTAAAAATATACAAATTAATTATAGATTTAAAATTTTCCATAATTTTAGTATTTCTATTAATAATTTTGGGTTATTTTTTTAATTATATGTTTTGTTCTCTTACTGTCATTAAAATTTTAATAAATGTCCATAAAAAGTCAAAAAATCTTTTAGTTTTACAAAGAAATATCTGTTTAGTTTAAAAGCCCTAATAATTAAGCCTTAAAAAATTAAAAATAATATATTTCAAATATTGTTTTTTAATTGTTATAAAATTATATTTTGTATATTCTTATACTTTGTATACAAACTTAACAATTTTTGAATTACTTTAACCTCTCATTTATTTTATATTGAAAGTTTATTTCTCAATTACAATAAAACACTTCTATTGTAAGAATGTGGCGTTTCTATTGACCATCAATGCTAAAAAACATATTGCCCGTAAAATATAAAATATACAATTAAAAATATATTAGGTTATAGATTTAAATAAAAATAATTCACCTGATCATCTCTATTTTCAAAATAAATTTTGCATATTGTACACTTAAAAGATTCAGCCTGATGGTCTTTTTCAACTGCATTAAAGTAAAATGAAATAAAATTAAAATCTATAATATTTACATACTTTACAGAAAAAGTTTATTAGTTTAAAGAAAAAGATTTTTGAACTTGGATTCATATTTGAAATGCTGGAATAAGAAACTCTATAACGCCAGGAAAGTGACACTAGAGAATATTAAAATTATTAAAACAACTTTAAATTAAAACTTAAAATCCATCTTGATTATTGATCTTTAATTAAATTTATTTAAGATTGAACTTTATTTATTATTTTTTCTATTTTACATGACAATTCACATTGCCTACCTTCTTAACCATGTTATACTATTATCATAACAGACAACACACTGGACCCATCAACTTTAAAGCTTTTTTACAATCTATTTAGTGAAAATTTTCTTAACAAAACTTTTAACCTTGTTCTTCTAACTGCCTTTTCAGTTTTACTTACCAATTTAATAATATCCCCTAAATAACTTATCAACAAAATTTGACTTTTACCTTAATATCACACTTAGTACGTAAGTAAAACCAAAAGCTTTTGTGAATGCAGAACTTTTTTTGAAAAAACACAAATTGTTTTTTCAAAAAAATTTGTTTGTGATTTTTGTGTGCAGTACAAACTTTAGACCTGATTTAATCAATTATTATTATTATATTAATATTTTTCTAATAAATGTTATAAAAATAGAATATAAAAAAAGCACAGCAATATGTTGTTCTTACTTTTTTTTTTATTTAACCACATTTATTTAACCGCAATATTTAGAATCAATTTTTATTTCAACTGGTCTAATCTCTATTTAACTATTATAGGGTTTTTTAATATTGATGTTTTTGTATTATTATTATTGTTATTATTATTGTTATTACTATTGTTATTATTGTTATTATTGCTGTTATTGTTGGTATTTTTAGCAAAAATAACATATAATAAGTAAACAAAGATTAGAACAGTTGAAATAAAAACAGATTCTAAATATTGTCTCCAGCATCAAAATTTAGACACGATATTTATGTATGTATGTATGAAAGTATGTATGTATGTATGTATGTATGTATGTATGTATGTATGTATGTATGTATGTATGTATGTATGTATGTATGTATGTATGTATGTATGGATGGATGGATGGATGGATTTATGCATATATGTACAAAAACAACCTCATTTAATGTGTGATACATTGTCTGATGTTTTTATTTTTTTCAGCACAGCATATAATACATGTTATTAATAAGATTCAAAACTATTTTTATTTATATTATTTTTCTTTTGTATTCTCAGTATCTAATTCTTTTCCAAGACACTGACACCAACATGATTATACATGTTGGTCTTAGATATTATGACGTTATAGTAATTTTGCTATTTAATTTTGCAGTTCTATATTAAGTTTATGCAGTCATAACCCACAGGGTGCAAGGGTGGGTCTTAAATTTTTTATTGTTTTAACCAAAAATTAATTTATAAAAATAATAAAACAAGACATATTAAATTTATACCCAAATTTCAAAACTTTCTCTTAAATTAAGCAAGTTATAAATAAATTAAGATTAACTTCAAGATCATTCTCAATGGTAAAACGTTGAAACATGTGCTGATAATCAAAAACAATTATATTGAGCTGAATAGGCACTGAGTATTTTTAGTAGGTTATAAACATTATAGTAATGTAGTATACTAGATAAATATTATACAATAATGTATTATTGTGAGTGAAATTATATTAACAGTACATATTGTATTATGTGGAAATATTATATAGAGAATGGTATATTTTAATATCTAAAATATTATAGTATTTAATAAAAAGTTTCGGATTTTCTTATTCAATTTTGAAAATTCGAAGATTTTTTGGACAAATTAGGCAAAGACATTTTAAACAAACCAATCTTATGATCTGATTCTTCCGAAGAACATAAAGCAGATTGTTCTTTTGGGCCAGTATAACTTATACAATTTTTAAAAAAATGATTAGTGCCTTCAAAAACACTAATTACATGATTCGTCGGCAGCAGACTTTTATGGGACTTCTCACTCATCTTGTATACTAATAAAAAATAACTGATTAATAAATTGTTGTGATAAAAAAATTTTCGATTCTAAGAAGAACGCATGCGTATTTCTGGAGATCTGTAGTAGATTATTCCCACCGCCTGAATTATTCCATCCCCCTATGAAAAACTCAAAACGAGATTGCGCTTTCGGGTTATAACTGTTAGAAGTGTACCTAAAACGTCCGTACTACCTTAGTAAACATAAACAAAGAGAAAAAAACGTTAAGATGACAAGAATTTTAGAAATAAAGTTTACATAAAAGTAATATAAGAACGACGATATAAGAAAGTGTCGTAATGATAGAAAATAAACAACTATATACTAATTAGTTATTTATTTGCATGAAACTGTTTTACAAATACTTTTATTATATAACAGTATATGTAGACAGATAAAAATTATATCTCTCTGAATTAATACCTATCCTTTATAAATCGCTCAATGTAAGACAATCTGATCTTTATTACTGTATAATGATTAAAATTCTACAACTATAAAATATTTAGTAATTAGTTGATAGTTGTATAATTTCTGTTTAAACTGAATAAATTAGTTATTTAATTATGTAAAATTAATTTACAAATATCTGTCTGAGTTATACCCTCCCCCTGAGTAAATTACTAAACTTGCCTCTGAATGATTTACTTTTTCCTAGCTAATCATTTAATGATGCAATTTGAGTGATGCAATTTAACTATTTATTGAGTGCAATAAATAGTGAACAACTATAAACTTTTAGTTATATATTTAATTAAATATACTTTAAAAAAATACATCTTTAAGTTTCAAAATTATTACTTTCCTTTAGTAAATCGTTTAAAGTAAGATGGTGAAATAATGGCATGAAGTGATAGTTATCGGAATTATGCAACTTGTATATCAATAAGTTATAAAATTATGTAAAATATATCAATAACTTATAAAATTATGTAAAAATGATTTACAAGTATAATGTCTGAATCATCACACCCCCCTAAGTAAATCATGCAATACAAAATGTTTGAATCTGGTATTGAGTGATATAATTTATTTTTATATTTTACAGTAATTGGAAATTTTTAAAGCTTTTGATATTTAACTTGTAGGACTTTTATTTTCCTATAGGAACATAGAATAAAAGTGTTATTAGTAAAGTTATTAGTCCAACATATCATTATTATTTTAGCCTCATTTAAAGATATTGTGATTTTATATTGGTTTTTGATTTTTTTCCAAACTAACGCATATTAATTTTCTGATATGTATATATGTTTTTAAGTTCTATGTTAGCTATTTCATATGTTCTACAAAAACTAGTATTGATTTTTTTATATTTTTATTTAAAAAATTATTTGTTTTGTGCAAATTGAAATGTATTTCTTTATTTAATAAGTTTTTTTTTGTCTATTTGTTTTAGTTCGACGACAAGGTTTTGCTCTACTTCATTTTTTATGTTTAATTTGACTACTGTTGAAATATGGTTTTAATTTAGTAAATTTTCATGAATTGAAATTTACTTTATTAATCATTAGCCAACAGTTTAGGTAATAAAATTGAATTCATCACAATTAAGGTAAGAATAACTTTGTTCTTTGGTCACACCATTAAATAGTTTTTTGTATCATATTCTTTTATTGGTATTTTTCACTAAAACTGTTTTTTATAGTTATTATTATGTCATTGCTTTTTTGTGTAACTAAACCTAAAAATAATTCAGCTAACATAACCTTAAAAATTTAATAGTTTTTTTTTTTTTTATTACACTTTTGTTTCAGATAACCTTGTTGAAAATTTCAAGAGAAGCTTGAAAAAAAATAATTGTTTGTATGAAATAAAGATTTTTTTTTGAGGGTTGTATCAATCTTTTTGAATTCGTACTTGTAAAGCAAGTCAAAAATTATTTAAAAAAGCTGAATCAAATTAAACAAGTGACATTTTTCTTGAATTAAAAAAATAAACTTTAATCTGAAAAAAGTTTTATTTTTTTTATTGAAAGTGATTGGCGTCTACTGCAAAAAGTAATTAAAAAAAATTATTTTTATTGGAATTACAAGATTTAGCATAAGATAAAAACCATACTCTGCCATAGATTTATAGTTTTTTCTAACGTCAGTGCGTGATTTACTTAAACTTGTTACATAATTTTGATTTAATAATTTATTAAAATCTTCAAAAGTGAGAATGTTTATCATGGGATTGGGGTAATGGTAACAGTTTAAGACCAAAGTATTGGATTTTTATTGCACTTTTGCTGTTTTTTCTTCTTTTACGCTGCAATTTTTTGATATAAAGTATTTTGTTAAATAAATAGTGTTTTGTTAAATAAAAGTCTGTCCTTATATGGAATACTGTTGCCATATCTGGGGAAAGGAGGGGTGGATCTTAAAATGATATTCTTTCCTTTCAGACAAGGTACAAAAACACAATGTAAACATAGTTGAACCTGGTCTTGCAAACCTCTAACCATTATCAGATGTAATGTTACTTCTTTTTCTCAATTCTACAAATACTCATGCTATTCCTCTTTCCATTAAGTCTTATCCTTTTTCTGTGACTGCTCCTAAGTGCTCCAAAAACTCTTATTCATCTAGTTTTTCTTTGAACATCAGTTCTTTGGAATTCACCTGCTTCAGTTTCTATTTTGACTCATATAATTTCTAATCTTTAAAGTCATATGTCAATCATTATCTTGCTTTATAAGCTTCATCTTATTCCAGTAACTTCCAACTCTATTAGTAATTGATTGCAGCTTTGTTGAAAGCAAAGATATTGAAAAAAAAGGGTGTCCTTTCTATTTAACTGAACTCTTTTTGGCAACAGATGTTATTAAACAGATAACCAGCAGTTACCTAATTTAAAACCTGTTTAAAAATAATTAATTTACATAAAATGAGCTTTTTTTGTGTGTGCTTTTTACCTTTCCAAGGCTATAAAGGCTGCTACAGTTAAAGAGGCAACTTTTAGTTGTGGTTAAAACCCTCTCTAAATAACTCCTAAACACAAACTTTGACAAACAAGGCCTCTGTGCCAAGAAACGAATTGAATGTAGTACTACTTTGGACTTATGTAGCTTTACCACTACACCACTACTGAAACTTAATAAACAAACAATAGGTTTTACATTAGGTATAATATAAACTTATGTTACCAGGAAAAATATATTTACACAAAATAGAAATGACACGATAATAATAAAATACAAAAAACTATTTAATGGTGTGACTAAAAAACAAAGTTATTCTTACCTTGATTGCAATGAATTCAATTTTTTTACCTAAACTGTTGGCTAATGATTAATAAAGTAAATTTCAATTCATGAAAATTTACTAAATTAAAACCATATTTCAACAGTAGTCAAATTAAACATAAAAAATGAAGTAGAGCAAAACCTTGTCGTCGAACTAAAACAAATAGACAAAAAAAAACTTATTAAATAAAGAAATACATTTCAATTTGCACAAAACAAATAATTTTTTAAATAAAAATATAAAAAAATCAATACTAGTTTTTGTAGAACATATGAAATAGTTAACATAGAACTTAAAAACATATATACATATCAGAAAATTAATATGCGTTAGTTTGGAAAAAAATCAAAAACCAATATAAAATCACAATATCTTTAAATGAGGCTAAAATAATAATGATATGTTGGACTAATAACTTTACTAATAACACTTTTATTCTATGTTCCTATAGGAAAATAAAAGTCCTACAAGTTAAATATCAAAAGCTTTAAAAATTTCCAATTACTGTAAAATATAAAAATAAATTATATCACTCAATACCAGATTCAAACATTTTGTATTGCATGATTTACTTAGGGGGGTGTGATGATTCAGACATTATACTTGTAAATCATTTTTACATAATTTTATAAGTTATTGATATATTTTACATAATTTTATAACTTATTGATATACAAGTTGCATAATTCCGATAACTATCACTTCATGCCATTATTTCACCATCTTACTTTAAACGATTTACTAAAGGAAAGTAATAATTTTGAAACTTAAAGATGTATTTTTTTAAAGTATATTTAATTAAATATATAACTAAAAGTTTATAGTTGTTCACTATTTATTGCACTCAATAAATAGTTAAATTGCATCACTCAAATTGCATCATTAAATGATTAGCTAGGAAAAAGTAAATCATTCAGAGGCAAGTTTAGTAATTTACTCAGGGGGAGGGTATAACTCAGACAGATATTTGTAAATTAATTTTACATAATTAAATAACTAATTTATTCAGTTTAAACAGAAATTATACAACTATCAACTAATTACTAAATATTTTATAGTTGTAGAATTTTAATCATTATACAGTAATAAAGATCAGATTGTCTTACATTGAGCGATTTATAAAGGATAGGTATTAATTCAGAGAGATATAATTTTTATCTGTCTACATATACTGTTATATAATAAAAGTATTTGTAAAACAGTTTCATGCAAATAAATAACTAATTAGTATATAGTTGTTTATTTTCTATCATTACGACACTTTCTTATATCGTCGTTCTTATATTACTTTTATGTAAACTTTATTTCTAAAATTCTTGTCATCTTAACGTTTTTTTCTCTTTGTTTATGTTTACTAAGGTAGTACGGACGTTTTAGGTACACTTCTAACAGTTATAACCCGAAAGCGCAATCTCGTTTTGAGTTTTTCATAGGGGGATGGAATAATTCAGGCGGTGGGAATAATCTACTACAGATCTTAATGTAATTACGGACGTGTAAAGGTAAGCGTTATGTACCTAAGTACCTGTCTTTCTTTTTTTTTTTTTCTTTTTTTTTTTTTGTTTTTTATTACAATATATAAGATAAAAATACAAATAAATAAAATATAAGAAATTGCAAGAGAAGATACTGTTAAAAAATAATGAATAATAAAAATATATTTGTACTGGTGTACCTCCAAATACACTTCTAGAATGGGAATTTGAATCTACACCTGTTCAAGATGTAATTGAGAACTTAAAAGTTGTAATTAAGAAAAGTAAGATGTAATTGAGAAATAAAACATGTAATTTAGAAGTCACAATACATAATTAAGAAACACAACATATAATTAAAAAATTTTAAAATGTAATTGAGAAACCCAACATGTAAATAAGAAATCGCAATATATAATTAAAAACAAAAGTTGTAATTAAGAAATCGTAATATATAAATGAGAATACATTAATG